TATATTTTTTTCCACAAGTGTTGGTGTCATGGGATAATAAGGTAAAACTATAAAACTAAACTATTGTATAATAGATCTCCCTCTCTCTATCTATCTCCTTCTCTCTCCCCCAGCACCACTGACATTGTCGTATACTTAATATTTGCCACAGAACTCTAAATAATATTTGTTTGAAACAGCAATTCTTCTTCTATTGTATATAGATTGTATGTAATATAATTTTTTTAGAAAATTTTTATGGCCTTATAGCAAAAGTCAAATTAGTCTTGCTTGGATTTCTTAGCTTATAACACACTTTTATTTGGGGAAAAAGGGAGGAGTAAGGGGAAAACACATCCAGATGATTTTGCTCTTGCATTGAATACAGAAGCACCCAGTAAGGGTATCAAGAAAAAAAAGGACAAAACAAGGAGGAAACAAAGTGAATGGATGAATGGTTGAATTTTTTTTTTTTTTTTTTTTTTGCTGAGTTGGGCATGGGTAGCTAGACGTTGGGCGTTAGGGGTTGGGTTGTGTGGGCATATGTATAGATACAGTCATTTCAGCTCTACAATCTGCTCAAATTAAATTGACCTACGTCAGAATTGGACGAAGCATTGACAACTGCTGCAAACCAGTAAGAGAAAGGGGGAGAGGTGGGGGGAAGCTGAGAGAGATGTTGCTGCGGTGGACCTTCACGTGTCTGTGAGTGTCCCTCACATGTAATTTTTTTCAATTCGTGTCGTTTTTATGCTGACGGACGAAAGTGAAATGAGTATATTGGTTTTGTGCAATGCCCGTCTGATGGTCTGTACATTCGTCCGTATGAATGGAAACCATTTCAGCTATGTTAAAACTAGAGTCTTGCAAATCGTGTATATCCTAGAGTTATAAAGTGTCAAGATTTTCCCAATTCACCCACCAAGGGCGTGACAAATCTCCAAATGCACTTTCCGGCATTTCAGAAACCATGAAGTGCTATGAAGTTGAAATTTGGAATGTATGATCGAGTTGACAGCACTGATTCAAAGAGATATAGCGGGTATATCTACATCCATTGGGGAAAACAGTTTTCCACAAAATTTAACGAATAAACTACGGTGGACATCCACATACAATACAGTAGAATCCGGCTGTAACGACTCTGCTTCTAGCATCCGTACGGTTATTGCGACGAAAATTCTGGTTCCCAGTGAAACTTATAAGAGCAAACTTATATGGCTATAGCGTCTTCCGCTTCCTTGAGCTGATTCCAATGCACGATGTATATACCGTGAATATCTGTTGCCGTGAATGAGTATTCTGCAGTCGGCAATGCTCGACTGCAACTTGTTTTTATTTCTATTTTCTTTTTATTTTTATTTTTTCTTTCTCTGCACGTCTTGTTGGCCGCTGGCTTCGACCCATTCTTTATAGTTTCATTTTGCAGCCACTTGGGTCTGGCTGTCTAAAGGATTAGCTGCCTATTCTTTTCATTTGATTTCATTTCAGTGCCCCGCTGCCACTTGACTTGGCTTCAAAGCCAATCCCAATGCAAAACTGTAAAATTGTCCATATGTGTGTGTGTGTGTGCTTGAATGTTCTTTTTGTTTTCCGTCTTGACTTGGCGAGCGACCCCCCCCCTGGCCAACTTTGATTAAATAGAAGTGATGCGACACCCCCCCCCTCCCCTCCCTCTCACAACCTACTGCATGAAAGTCGACAACCCTGGCTAGCTGTCAATTGCTACGGAAAGGCGTGTACGAGCCAGATTTCCGACAGTCAGTCAGTAAGATTTATTTGCCTGAAGCACAGGCATCATTTCTCTGGAAAACAAAAAACAAAACAAAAATCCAGAAAAACAAAAAATTAAATTAAATTTCCAGAAATTCGGCAAATACAAATAGCTCCATATTCGAGGTGAGTTCCTCTATATCCTCTAACCACAGTGCAATGGGGCCAACAGCTCACTCTTCCTCCTCCTGCAGCGCGTCCACGATGAACTCGCTGCGTTGCGCCGGCTGCCGTTTGCCGGGAGCTGCCGTTGCTGTCATTGCCGGGGCGGCCAAATCGGTTGGCGGCGCCCATCGTGCCCGCAGTGCGGATCTGCGGCTGATGCGCCGCTTCACCCATCACGATGGCACGCGGGTGATGAGCGGTAAACGCGAAGTTGTGGGCTATGGCGTCAATGGCAGCCCCAACTACATTGACTGCTCGGACTTTCCATTCCCGGCCATACGCTATCGCGAGGTCACGCCGGAGATCTGCGCGATGCGCGAAAAGGAAATGGGCGACTGGAAGAAGCTGTCGCTGGACGAGAAGAAGTCCCTGTATCGTCATAGCTTTTGCCAGACCTATGCGGAGTTCCAGTACTACATGCCCGAATGGAAGCTGGCCATTGGCATCACCCTTTGGGCCATATCCTTTGCCATGCTCATCTCGCTGGTCTCCAATGTGGCCATTTATGATGATTTGCCAATCACCTACGATGATGAGCATCGGCAGGCGCAGCTGCGTCGCATCATACAGCTGCAAATGAATCCCATAACTGGACTCTCCTCCAAATGGGATTACAGCCAGAACAAGTGGAAGTGATTGTAAGACAAAAATAACAACAGCAAAAAAAAACACACACACACATACACGCACACACACCTTGAATGAAATGCTGCACAATAGTAACATTACCACAAGCTCATATTTTCGTACACACTCACATAGCATGACCCCATCAACACACTTATACACACACACCCACACAGGCGAAGAGAGAAACAATACTCACACACATACATAGAGACATGTTGAGTTTCGAACATATGTTAAATAACTGTTAATTTTAGTTGAATGCATATTAAATTTCATGACGAACATTCCAAAAGCTCATTTGGTTTTAATTCTTCAGAGATCTTAAGTAGATGTAAATGTAGATGAAGTCGCAGCCTGTCTTCTTCTCGATCAATTATAATATCGCCTTGCACAGAAGTAGCACTCTATAAATACATATGGAGTGCTCTCTAATCCATAGGCATTGCATAAGTTCTATCTCCAGTCCATCTCCAGTCCCTGTTAATAGAGTAGCTGCTCGACTTTTCTCTTGATCAATTGTATTGATATAAACTATCTATACTTGCGCCTTGACTGTAGGAATAGGCCTATTGATCTTCAGTTGGATTATCGTCAAATCCTTTAGATTGAGTCGTTTCTCGTTGCATTTCTCTATGCTCAACGCTCAGAAGTACCAAAAATTTAAACTTTACATACAGTGATCTATACTTGTGCCTTAACTGTATCTATATCTTAAGGTAAATAAGGACGGGTGGGTGTTCAATTTGTGTTCTTTCTATCCAGAAGTAGCTGAAATACATTCTTATCCACAGGCATAGCGACCTTAAGTTCAATTATCTCCAAGTCCTGTAGATACAGTAAATGCTTGATTTGTTTTCTTCTTGTTCAATTGCATAAATATTGTAATTATTTCTTGAAATAAACGATCTATACTTTGACTGTATCCAAAGGCATATAATCTGAGTCTACCTCATATCACAAAAGGTAGTGATGACAGCGTCCAATTTTCATGGGTTCTAAAGAGCTTAAGACATTTCTGAATGTTTAAACGATAATATCTCTTTAACGAAAACTCCGATTTGAATGAAATAAATTTAGTTATGTACAAAAATTAATGAGCTATGACGACGAAAATGCGAATTTACCATTATTTACAGCTATATACGGCTGATATACTTAGTAGAACTAGCCCTATCGAAAATAAAAGACCAGCATTATTTACACTCTTTACCTATCGAATAAGTAAAATTTTAGTTCATACAAATTGAGAATGTAAAATTTTATAAATTATTTGAATTCAATCTTAGCCCTTCATAGGTCTGGCACAGATTTCTTGACACATTAAAATGAGACAAGCTAAAATGCGCTTTATTTCAATCTTGCATTTCGAATACATCAATTGA